GTTACCTTTTCTCTTAATTTAATAGGAAAAAGCCAAGAGGTGTCCTCATATCCCCAGGCCCAGGTTTGCTAACGCGTTATCTTTACCACTCAGAATCAAAGTGTAGCAAGATCAGAACAAAATAAAGTTGAAAATTATATTTATGCATGTCATTTCCTTTTATCGGAACGCCCCAGGATTCTGGAATATCCCTACAGATGGTTTTAGAGCTTGGACCTACCGTGCCTTTGTTTGGTGTGTGTATGGGGTTGCAGTGCATTGGAGAGGCTTTTGGAGGTGACACTTCAAATCTTTTTGGCTATCTGCATGTTTCATTGTTTATCTAGTTGTCTGATATTTGCTTTTGCGAGAATCATCGAGGAACTTGAACAATGTTCAAGATATTTTATTTTTAACATGCAGCAGTCTTCTGATTGAGTTTTCTTTACATAATACATAGTACATTGTTGCATTTCAGGAAAGATTGTGCGCTCACCTTATGGTGTCGTGCATGGAAAAGGTTCTCCTATATATTATGACGAGAAGGGGGAAGATGGCTTGTTCGCTGGGTTGTCTAAGTAAGGAACTTTTGAGTAATTGATCTGACATTATTATCTTCTCTCTCTTTCTTTTTGCTGGCATTGTCTGGCTAGTTACATTCATTAAATTCCTAATATAATGATATGAATAATTTTAGAATCAAGAAGGGAATAGGGAAAGGAGAAAGTTGTTTAAGAAATAACTGCATATATTCCTGAACTCTTTTAAGCTATATATATAGCAGTACAGGGAGGAAAATAACAAACATTGCTAACGAATAGGAAATGCTGAAAAACAAAACAGAACAGAAAACAAACTGACTCAACAGACAATGACCAAATAACAAATTAGACTAAGTCTTCCATCTTGCCACTACACATCGTGGTCTTCTCTTCCATCTTGCCACTACACGTTCCCTTCGTGGTTTGTTGTTGCATGTGAAGTGGCACAATCGTGGTCTTCTCTTCCATCTTGCCACTACACGTTCCCTTTGTGGTTTGTTGTTGCATGTGAAGTGGCACATGTCATATAACTTTGAAAGATTTGCTTAAGTTGTTCATCTATCATGCAAATTACAGCCTTATTTTGTGAACTGTAAATTAAGATCTGATTCATAATTCCAAAGTAGGTTGCAAATCATAACGGTTACTAATTGTACTCACATGTTCATAAAATTCAAAATTTTTAATTAAAATTCAACATTTTACTGTATGATCATGAGACATTACTCACACTTTGAACGGCAATAAAACAATTGAATTCTCAGGAAGTGCAACCATGGAAAATTGGTGAAAGGCCGTGACTACTTGCTGTGGGTTTGACCTCGTGAGTTGCCACAACCGAAATTTAGTATAGAATTACATTTGCATATGATGCAATCAGATTTACCTACATGCAAGTTGGCAAAACTAGACAGATTTTCCTTTTATTTGCAAATAAAATAGCAAGGCCACAGGGAGGGGAATTTCTCTGTGGTTGATAAAATGGCTTTCATGCTGGCATTCATCTTGACTCTTGCTTATATGCATATTTGACTGCATTAGTCAAGCTTTGTCCTTTCCTTACCTCAATTTGCTGATGTATCATAGTTGTAATTGGAGTACAAAAAATTAGCAAACATGTCCGACAAGGTCTGAATGTCTTTGGGTTGTTCATTTAGAGGGAAGGTAATGATTGAAAAAAATCTTTGGTCAAAGATACAAGTAGAGTTTGTTTTTGCAGTTGAAAAGCATTTTCATAAAAAAATATTTTTTAAAATTGTTTTGATGTGATGATATCAAAAATTTAGATATGTTTTTAAGCTAAAAACATTTTTAAAAAATAACCATTATCATAATACTAAACCAGCTCACAAAGTCCTTGTTAAGCAATAAGTTGAATTGAATCATGCTCCTATGACAACAAGTATATGGCGCTATTTATTTTGTCCAATTGATCAACTATTACACTGCTAGCGGGTTATGTTTGTTGTGAGAAATGATTCTCTTAGACCTGACTTTTCTGTTTAGACAGTTTCTTTTTCCAAATTTTCCTTCGTCTTTGCGTGTCAAAGGTATTTTTTTATCATTGATATTTTCTGTGTGTTTGTTATGAATTTATTAGATTAGAATTTTTCATCAGCTTTCCTCTATATTTATAGAAAATAATATCTGGGAACTGGTTAGCTTGCTAATATGCTATTACAGAATTTACGTTTGAGTAACTTTTTTCCTCACTATAGACAATTCCGAGGGAAAACAAATTGGTAAAGCATTAAATTCTATTAATATACGTGCCATGATTTGCCTTAAGTTTCTCTCTATTAAATTTCATCTTGATTGTGTCCGTATATGGTAATGGTTTGTCTCAATATCTGTATACCTTTTGCAGTCCTTTCACTGCTGGAAGATACCATAGCCTTATGATTGAAAAGGAGAGTTTCCCCGGTGAAGAACTAGAGGTTACAGCATGGACTGAGGATGGCCTCATAATGGCTGCTCGCCATAGAAATATAAGCATCTGCAGGTAATATATTCATTTGTTACCCTCTTATTAGTAAATTGCCCTTTCATACAATTATTTGACAGGTTTGAGCTCGGCATCCATATTTGCTTGCTTAGATGTAGAGTAACACGAAATTTGTTGTGATCTGTCTTCTTCACTTGAAAGTCTTGCATATAGACTCGTGGCTTCATCTGCCAAAAAAAAAATTTGGAATATTTAGAGTGAAACATTCTATTAACTGTTTTCCTTTCGCCCCCACCTCTCTTCAAGAAAAAGCATAGTACTAGTGAGGGCAAGAAAACTGCTCTCAAATGAAATAATGGGCTTTCATAGTCATAGCTCTTACTTTAACATGATGGCGTTTTTTTCCCCTCTTACTCTCAAATTTGAGAAAAATAAATTATGTTTGAGTCATTCCTTGATATTACCCACATGAAGGCATAAGATCAATTTGGTGAAGAAAAATGGAGAATTTATTTTATGGGATATGTCTTCCAAGCTATTTGTGAATTACCAGTTGACAGCTGTTATTTTAGAAATGACCCGTGTTAATGTTCCATCTATCAAACTGCATGATTATAATCACTCATCGGATTGCCCAGAAACCTTCATGTGATCAGTATTCCTAGATCATTTTGCAACCTGTCGGTGGTGTTCCTTCCCCAACTCGATCTACTTGCTTATATGATTTATAAATGTTGTTTTCTTGATCAGTGCATGGTCTATTATGTCACGAGTATACCAAAATTGATGTTGCTAGGATCCTACAAACTAGGGGTCTTGCATGGTGGTTAGAAAACAATATACGGTGAAACACAGAGGTGCCCCTTTCAGATTGTTGTATTAATATGCCAAAATCCATGCACACTCAGCCACATGGAGAAAAAACATGCTGAGGTTCTAGAAAAAAAAGAAGAAATATACGATGGACTAATCCAAGATGCGTTTGTCCTTGGACTTGCTGATGACTGATGATTTCTTTATTTCAATTGGTTACTTGGGTCCATCGACATTCTTTCTATTGCTTTTACAGCTACTAAGGTCTTTATAAGATGCTATTGAAAATGTTTGAAATTTTTGCAGGGGGTGCAGTTCCATCCAGAAAGCATCATAACATCTGAAGGCAAGACAATTGTTAGGAATTTCATCAAAATGGTAGAGAGAAAAGAGGCTGAATCTGAGAAATAGAAGCATGTCAAGGATCAAGACATACAGTGAATAATAAAAGGTTAAAAAAGGAAGCAGCAGAAACAGTGGACCTTTGGGCTGGTAGTTCTGTTTCTTCCATATTCTTACTGTGTGGGGGTTTTAAACCAGTACTTTTTTTGTCCTTGATGTGTAGCTTTTGGACTGGCATTTATTTGTTTTTCATGCACAATTTTTTCTCTGATCGAAGCAAATAGCAAGTGGCTCGTTGCATGAATGCGTCAAATCAGCATAAGGAGTCCCCTCTTTATTGGGAAAAAGAACCTGCAAGACTGAATTAGCTCTTACACACGCACACCCATGTGATCACGAAGTCCCACGAGAGGGATTTATTCTGGTTTGCCTCTTTTATGGAGTTCTACACTTAGTTTTGGAACCTCCTGCTGATAGAGATCTGTTTCCAAAGACTTGTTATTGAATATGACTAGCTTAATGCAAGTATTATTATGAATAATCAATAAACTTTAGCATTATTGGGTTTTCCCTCCCTTTATTATTGAAATTTTAAGCTTGTTTCATCCACAGTGAGAGCAGGTTTCAGGTTACTCCTCTCCCCACATACCCACAGGTATATGAAATTCCGTTTAGGATATTTTCTCGTTAATTTCCTTGGGTTATTTTCCCGTTACTTTCCTTTATATCGATGGTTGAAATAAGCCGTGCCTTTTTAATCAGATTAATTTATTGATTTTGAATTGAAATAGGAACGTAAAAAGGGTGTAAAAATGGCACCACAAAGATCATTAACCAGCCTTGCTAAACATCAAATCATGAATTCATAACGTTTAAACTTGACAGCGAGAAGGATCATCGAATTTGAATTACCACAAGAACCAATTGCTGTTCTAGATAACTTGGGATAGCAACTGGGGTCGGTCTGCCCAAGGAGGTGTTCAATTCAATCAAGAGTGATTAACACTGCTAAAGAACAGAAATTGTAGACATTTTGTGCTCAAACATGGAGTGAACTACTCTCTGCAAAGGAGTTATTCACAATAGTAAGCATCGTGTAGGTATATGCGGGTATATACCATATCATATTGGAACATTTAGTACGAGTACCTTCACACCAAGGCAGCTTCTTGTAGGAATAGGATACAATAGCATCTCAATCTACTATACGTCTTCAGAATTCTATCAGAGTTGAACATGCTTGTGAGTTGTGTGGACCAGTTAGAACGCAGATAATCAGGTAAAACGCAAATATATTGAATTAAACTGCCTACTGGAATAAGAAAAGGTTAAAACATTATTAATCTGTGATCTGTAGCTAGACAACTCATTCTTGAGAATCTTGAGCCAACCAAAACCTATCCAAAAATTGACATGAACTATCAACACAAACAGCTAGAACGACACGAAAAGATGGATTATCTCCAGCTTCATTAAAAACCAGGGAGAAATAGGAAGAGGACAAGCTACGCCATTAGCAAAGCACACTCAGCCCTTTACAGAAAACACACCAAGCCAACAAAGGAGGACAGGCTACGCCATTAGCAAACCTTTACAGAAAACACACCAAGCCAACAAAACATTTCTGAATTACCCATATTAATCACCATCGTGCAACAAAAAAGGGGAAGATTACTGCATGATTGATAAATCAGATACAGGACTCCCATCTCTAATTATAGAGCACACTTGTCGTCTTCTAACGCAGAGTGCTTAGACCAGGCCAGAGGAAAGGGAGAAAAAGAGAGGGATACAAGAGGCGATTGCTTTCTACGTTTTCCGTTGTAGGTGGAGAGAAACGAGAAGGTGGACCGATTTCCTTCTCTATGTGTCTCATGAATGCTGCTTCTTCCGCTTGCTAGAAAGCAACAGGCGTTGTTTGAGGGCTTATGTTTTTGGGCTGGACTGGACTTACATCATCAAAGCTACCTTTAATCCCATGGAGATAGACTTCTTTTTTATTTGTAGCAACTGGAGAGAGAGAGAAAATTATCCTTTAACTTAAAAGTGACAATTGAATCGACACATAACAAAATTGTAAAAATATAAAGGAAAAGTTGTTTCGGATTTTGTTTTTCTTAATGAAAGATTCAAATTGAATCTAAAGTTTATAGCCAAACTGAATGAAGAGAGACGGCCTTGTTCCACAAGGGAAACAATGAAATCATCAGGCATTTCTTCGATTGGCTTGAGCTTGAACCCTAGCCTCTTCAACTTTGAGGCGTCGAATTCGGAGTACTGTCTCCTTGGAGCTCCAAGATGACTCACCGAGAGGTATGTTGTGGTCAAAATCATCCCTTGCTCGAACGGTCCAGGAGGATGACGTGAGAATCACACGTTTTAGTTAGGCGACCCGCATTATAATAGCGGTTCACTTTTTATTTTTATAAAATATTGGATGTTGATGATGGCAGGATCAAGTTACAGCTAATGATTCAAAACCATTTTAGATTCTGCAGTATACGGGGTTCAGGAATAGTTAGGTCTGTGTTGGGGTTCAGTATACGGCCTCCAGATAGACAGCTTAAGCAACGCATGTAGAAAGGGTGTACCCATAACAAAGACAGGAGCTCAAGGATCATGGGTGTGCTGGGAAGTACTGCAGGAGCACAAGAGTTCCATTTGCGCTAGAAAATACTCAATCCAAAGACAGGAGCACAAGTAGCTCATTTGTGCAGGGTATGCCCAGCATTGAAGCATGGCCCAAGTGCTACAAGTATATAGAGGGAGTGTTCATTCCCTGGACAGGTCCTAAATATCACAGGTCTCCACATGGAGAAATAGGTTTTTTTCAATGGTAATAATAATTTTTTAAAATGTATTGATGATAATAATAAAATGATAATAGTAATTTTTAATTTTATTTTTTAAATCAAATCTTTGATTTTTTTTAATATTAAAAATAATTTTTCTTTCTAATTTAGTAATTATTTTATTAATAATATTGATTATTATAAAAATAATAATATTTATAACAAAAAAATGTAATATTTTTAATATTAATACTTTTGATTATAGTAAAAATAATATATTCATAACCCAAGTAGTTCTATTTTTAATTAATACCAAGAATATTTAGAACATAAATAATAATATTTTTTATATTAAAAATTTGAATTATTATAAAAATAATAATATTGACAACGTAAATTATAATATTTTTTATATTAATACTTGAACTGTTACATATTTTTAATAATACTACGCCGACGGCTCATTTTTTATTTTTATAAGAAATGCCATAAAAATTTATAATATAAATAATAATATTTATAATATAAAAATTTAGTAATTATTTTATTAATAATAATATTTATAACTCAAATAATACTATTTTTAATGCCAAGAATATTTTGAACATAAATAATAATATTTTTTATATTAAAACTTTGAATTATTAGAAAAATAATAATATTAGAACAAAAATAATAATATCGAGATGAATACTTTGTATTTTAAGAAAAATAATAATTCTGACAATGAAAATTATAATAATTTTTTATATTAATAATTAGAATTGTTAAATATTACTTAGAATTATTGAATATTTTTAATAATACTACAACGCAGCTCACTTTTTATCTTTATAAGAAATGCCATAAAAATTTATAGTATAAATAATAAAATTTTCTTTCAAATTTATTAATTATTTCATTAATAATATTAATTATAATAAAATAATAATATTTCTAAAAAAAATAATATTTAGAATCTTAGGAGATATGAGCATTGAGTCTTGATGAAGAACCCAATATAATTGAGTCCTTACACTAGACTCGTTGATCATAAATCCTGAAGCTCGATCTATTCCTCTTAAGTCCAGAGTCACGATCCAAATGCCACATACACGCTAGAAAGTGTCCGACCTATAAGCAATACTTTAAGCCCCTCGTGTGCAGAGGTAGTTGCCCAACACTAAAGTAGGAGTCTAAACACCACGTGTGTGTTGTGATATGTCTAACATGAAGACAGAACCCAAACACCATGTGTATGCTGGAATGTATCCAACCCCTGGATAAGCAACTCGACCGTCGCATGTGTACAATAGTGTGACTAGCACTACTCTAGCCTAGTCCTTGAATCCTACAAGTTGCAACCTCTCTGCATGCCTCACCCACGGTACAATGCAATTCATAATAAAAGCATTCATAATCTATAACACCTCATATTACAATACATAATATTACAATACATAATAGTACAATTCATAATAAATAGTCGTGGTCGGCATTGTTAATAATAATAATGTAATTATAGATTTGGATTTTTAATTCATTTTGTTCCTCTAATTATAACCGTACCGTACACAAAATGGTAAGGCCCATTGATGCATCCATTCCAAACAATATACAAAGGCCTCTTTAGCAGGATGACAAGGCCCATCTGTGGAGAATGAGGCGGCCTAGGAAGACCTCTTCCAACAAAGGTTTTTCAAGCGAGCTAGTCATTCACACTCATAATATTCACTAAAGCAATATAGTTTTCCTCGAGACCTTTCTAAGCTTCTAACCCTGTATATATATAAACGATCAAATGCACCACGATTGAATACAAAGAGGAGCAGGGCAGTGTTGAATGCTCGTTTTTACTTGATCAATAGTAGTTTCTGAAAAATTGACAATTTTTTTTCCCTATTTCAAATTAATAAATAGCATTTAATATATAATGGAAGAGCAATGGAATTTACTTTTCCAAATTTTGTTCAGCAATACTGGCATGAAGAGTTTGCAAACCATTCTGACAGCAGAAATAAGAGGAACAGTTAAGGAGTGAGAAACCATTTTCTGAGTCAAGTTTACACAACAAAATATTTCCCAGAAGAAGCTAGTGACAAAATCATGAACACAAAAAGTATTATTTCTTAAGCTTAAAGTAGGAGCCGATTGATAATATCATTTCCCGACCTAGACTAGAAAGGCGATCATATAATTTGTAACAATTTACAGGCACCACACATGATTTCTATGATAGATAGAAAAGGTGCTTTTGATGAGACTAAAAATCATGTGTTCAAGATCGTTTAGTTAATTACAAAAATTAGTAGGCAAGTGTGGCAGGAACTGTGCGAGTAAATTGACTCGGATTTTTTTTATGATTCATCCAGGTCCGAGTTGGCTAGCTACGCGACATTGGAGGATCAGATAAGCAAGAAAACAACTTTTATTCAAATGCTCTCCCTCCCACTTGAATTTTTGAGGAAAAGAAAAGGTGATGAGTGCTTGTGATGTTTTTTGTGAAGCTGGTGATCGTTTTCCAGCTGTGACAGCGATTACCTTTTCGCCAATCAAAACCTCTGTGGTTAGAGGCATCAAAGATTTTCATAAAAACCACGTCTCTAGCTTTTTCATTATGGCCATGGATCTTTTCCTTGCAACTGAACTTTTAAAGCGAAAGGCTAAAGTCTTATTGCTTACTGTCTCCTTCTCTATACCCAACCTTTGGAATCCCAGCTTCCTGATACGTGGAGGTATGCTCCCCGTATCTTCAAATCATGGGAAAACTGTAAAAAAAAAAAAAATTATTGTTTTAATAAATGTACCAATTGATATATTAATAGTTTATACGAAGAATTGTTAAAAATAAATACGTATTTTTATTTAACAGAAACTAAATCTAAAATCAACTTATATTGCAAAGAAAATATAATAATTATAGTTAAAACCAAGTTCTTGATTATAGATTGCACCAGTTTTACAATATGCTTTTCAATTCTTTATTCTTTGCTAAAACAATTTGCCGCAAATATGTACGTCAAAGTTTAAACCCACTTTATGGGATGCCTTTCTTGAGTCCAATACCATTAGTTTGCAGTGATGATACCATCAGCAACGAAGCTAGTAATCCTGCGGCAGTTTTGGTGCCATTCTATCTTAAAAGGAATTGGAAATGATTCCTGGGTCTATTAATATTCTTGGAGTGAAACGAGTGAGGCTGCGGGTGTATTTGCAAATATAACAGTGGTTGTTTTATAAAGTATTTTTTATTAAAATAATATTTTATATTTTTTAAAAATTATTTTTAATATTAACACATCAAAATAATTTAAAAAATTACAAAATATTTTTTTTTACAAAACACAATTGACACTATATTCCCAAATAATCTCTGCATCTGACGGACAGGCCTTCGAGATTATGAGAAAAGGATCTATCCGTTCCTACAAAGTTTATGATCATTAAGAGATTCCCCGAAGTCAGCAAACATGATACTTCAGCAAACATTGTCTCGTATTCTTGGACACGATCACCTTGCATCAATTTGGCATTCTATGTCTCGCAATCTTGGATACGATCACCTTGCATCAATTTGGCATTCTATACCTTGTTTCCCTGTTGGTTTTATTTTTTATTTGAACAGAGTGTACTATGGTGTCTCAGAAATTATAAAATTTCACAAACAAATTGTAGTAATATATTTTACAATTCTTTTTTGATAAAAAAAAAACATTTGAATTTATTAATGATTTAGGTTAAACAAATACATCAATGTTTTTATACCATGGAAACATCAAAATCTTATTAAATGATTTGTACATTGTAGTAAAATTAAGAGAAGCTTCCAATACACATCAAATCTACATCTTTATCCTAAAGAATAGAAAAGAAAAAACAAAAGTGAAAAGAATGATGAAAATAACAACAAACAAACAAAGGAGTGCTCTATTTTTTGGTGCGTTTTAAAAGTGCAATTTACTGGAAAATTATTAAATTAATTTTTTAAATGTTTTTATAGTTTTGATATACTTATATAAAAATAATATATATATATATACACACATCTTGAAATAAAAAATATTTTTAAAAAATACATTTCAATTCAATTAAAGCAATAAAGCCAGTGCCCTGATTGTTTTGCTAATCTAATCTACCACTCAGGCCAGCCTTATTTTCTCTTTTGGGATTTGCTTTCTAATGTATTTCAATGTCTTTATTAATATGGTACATTAACCTTAGAATGAAGTATCAACAACCTTTGCTGCTTTAAAGTATCCAATGAAAGAGTCACAGAACAACTAATGGCGAGGCCAGGTGGGATCCTATCATGGAGTTTTGAATAGAAAAACACTCCAAAGTGGCTCAAAGAAATCCTTGATGCTGTTTGTCTTGATCGGGCTCTCTCCCTTGCTTCAATCTAACTCTCCATCCACATATCTTCTGCCAAAAATTGACTCTAGAGAGGAAATTGATGTCTTTTTTGGG